CCACTCACCTCAGCCTCCCAAGGCGCAGGATTACAGGCTGAGCCACTGAGCCTGGCTTGATGTCCTTCTTCCAAAGCACATACCACTGCCGCTGCTCACACGACTCCTTTGGGAATGCCTGGATATCTGCATCGCCACCTTCCTTGCCCCACCTTCCTTCAGGGCCCAGTTTAATGGCCACCTCCTTTGGCTTCCTCCCCTACTCTGAATGTCCACTACACTTTCTGTCACCTGCAGCATGCCCAAGTCAAAAACACTCGCTTACCAGCCTGGGCAACAGAGTGATACCTCGTCTCTACAAAAAAAAGGAAAAAAATTTAACCAGGTATGGTGGCACACACCTGTAGTTCCAGCTACTCAGGAGACTAAGGTGGGAGGATCACCGGAAGGTTGAGGCTGCAGTGAGCTGTGATCGTGCCATTGCACTCCAGCCTGGACAATAGAGTGAGATCCTGACTCAAAACAACAACAAACGCCTGCTTGATTATTGATGTACGTTCAGTTCTGACTCTCACAAACTGACACTTCCTCTTTGCCAGGCTCTGCGCGCTGGACACTGCAGAAAGGAAGAGGTCACTGTTCTTGGGGGTATGGGAGTGCAGTATGGGAGACATACTTATCTCCTTAACCAAACTCTAAGTTCCTAAAAGAATCTTTCTCATTCATTCATTCAATACCTTTTTTTTTGAGTCTGGGTCTCACCCTATTGCCCAGGATGAAGTGCAGCAGGGCACAATCATGGGTTACTGCAGCCTAGACCTCCAGGGCTCAGACAGTGCTCCCACATCAGCCCTCTGAATAGCTGGGACTACAGGTGTGCACCACCATGCCAAGCTAATTTTTTGTAGCGGTGAGATCTTCCTATGTTGCCCAAGCGGGTCTCGAACGCCTGGGATCAAACGATCCTCCCACCTTGGCCTCCCAAAGTGCTGGGATTACAGGCATGAGCCACTGTGCCCAGCCCAGTAATTACTTATTGACCACCTACTGTGTGCTAGCAAAGTCACAGAGATAAAAGTATAAAAAACAAATCCAGGGCAAGCCCCTCGGGTACCCTCCCACTGTGGGAGCTTTTCTGTCCTCTCAATAAATCTCTCTCTTTTTTTTTTTTTTGAGTTGGATTCTCACTCCGTCACCCAGACTGGAGTGCAGTGGCCGCTCCCGGCCACCACAGCCTCAACTTGCTGAGCTCCGGTGATCCTTCCACCTCAGCCTTCCAAGTAGCTAGAACTACAGGAGCACGCTACCATGCCCGGCTCATTTTGATTTTATTGTAGAGATGAGGTCTCATCAAG